TATAACCAATAAAAGATGGTATGAGTTTAGTTCAGTGGTGGCAGAAATGACTTCACCTTCAATGTCAGGCTGTAAGTCTGTGGCAACATACAATCTGTGGCAATAGTGTATGTTATATCACAGAGATAATATAGTCTCACATTTGTGAGTACAAAAAGTGGGTTTAAACTTGTCAAGTACTTCTTGGCAAGCTTTTCTTGGTCGAGTACATATGTCTCAAATCACCGCCTTCCAGTTGTGACATCACTTCTAAGGGTTTTCACCTATGGTGTATACTTCCTCATACATTTTAACCACATTTTGTGTTCTTACAGATAGGGAACATCTATATCAGGTGTAGAAACTATATTTTTCAGACAAATAATAATATTACAATCATACTTTTTTAATTAAAACAGAATGCTTTTTTTGGTATAATTTTGATTGCTGCATCAGAAAGGTAAAATGAATGAAATTGTGCAGCCTGATTTACATTATGTATGACAGCATCAATGATAGCAAATTACATCTGAAGTCACCATTTAGTATATATTTATTAACATACCATTTAAGTAAATATTTAAAACAAGGCTACATTTAGGTCGGTTGTCAATGTGAGGAACTGTTTTTTTCTCGCTTGTGCTGTTCACAACACTATCTATTGTTCAGCTAACAGACAAGTATATTTTTTAAGATTGCTAATATTTTAAACAAATGAACATTAATTTGCAAAAATATATCATACTATGTGCACCCAGTATAATTGTACTATACCATTTGGCACTTGAAATCATTATGCTGAATATGCTGAAGTAACCACAGCTTATTCTGTTCTCAGGCTCACACTGACAGCATCCCATTACTCTTTGTATCTTTGACATTTTTATTCTTTTATGTGTGTACAGCACTTTGATAAACACTTGCTGTTTTTTAAAAAAGTGCTTTATAAATAAACTTTGACTTTGACTCACCACAACTGACGTGTGGCTTTGTTTTAAATCGATTTTTTTAATCTCTGCAGATAATAACTATGCATTTTACATACATGGAGCCGAGGAACAAATGTGTTCTGGATACCTTTACAAATCTCCCCCGGATAATCAGTTCAAGTCCCAGGTATGTTTCTCTGGAAGAGAAGAACAGGTTACTATACTTTCTATAAAATACTTTCTTTTTTTTGCAGAAATCATGGAAAATTAGTTTTTTTTTGTTCTTCTTAAGTACAGAGACAACATATGCCAACTTAAGTACTACAAAAATGAATAGAAGAACAAACCACTGGGAGACATTGACTTGTCTAAGTATGTCCAATATTTGCACTCTGCACTATTTATTATATATGTATTTATTATAACTAATTGAACTTCCTGTATTATATCATTAAACCCCAAAAATATGTCAACTGTCTAGCATCCTCCCACATTACCTTAGCAGCAATCTATCTTATCTATTCAACATCATAGTTTCTCTTGACAAACTTTCCATTATAATAAGTATTGCACAGTAAGACTACAGAAGAAATAATCAGTTTTTCTGTCTGCCCTTTAGGGTCACATACATGTTCTTGTACCCCGAGATGCATACAATGTGGAAATGGATTCTTCTTCGTGCGTAATGTTTATTACAGTACCAGAAAGAGACTACTTGCTTATAGGAGAAAACAGGTTTGTCCTGAATGTGTTTGCTTTGTTTAGAGCAGTGATTTATTGTTCGATTTATGGTATAAATTGAGTGGAAATATTTTATAAATATGCATATAAAAATAAATTAGAAATGAATTACAGAAATGTAATTTCAAGTTGAAAATCAAGTCAAGATATGATTTAAGAATATTTCAATAGTCTCTGAAAGATGCAATATAACATATTTGTGCAGTTGGGAGATGGACAAATGGTTCACTGCTTTATTTGACATCTTAAACAATCGTCCACACAGACTGTTGGATCCCAAGGTAATGTTTTGACATTTCTGACTTGAAACTGTGTCTCATGCATTTTGTACACACGTGTGCATGGTATACAAAATATTTCTTTAAAAAAAGACAATAAGCAGGTATGTTGGCACATGGAACGGGCTGCTAAAAACAGGTCTGGTTTATGTTGCCAACTGGTATTACAGGATTTATGATCTTTAATGATTCCTGTCTTTAGTATTCTATTTATTGCCCAATCCAAAGTTTCCCAACTATTGTTGAGAATCTTCTTTTTTTCACCTGAGGAGATCGACAGTTTAGTCCCAATTAACTGTGATTTACAACAATAATCAGCTCTTATAATTGCTCCATTCAACTTTTTTGCAACCCATACTGATTATATCAAACAGACTAAAACAATCTGCCTGTTGTCTGGAGAGAGAGAAAAAACAGGTTTGCTAATTTTAGAAACATTGCTTGTTGTTTTTGTACTGGTTAACCCTTTGTTGTCTGGTTATTTCATTTGTATCTGTGCAATAATGTAACAAGACAAGAAAATAGTATCATCATCAATATTGTGCCAATGACAGAAAATTGAGTGGGGTCAAACAAAACATGATACACATGAGCTGCCATCATCTGTGACCCATGAACCCATCTATGTTTCTCCGATAAAATTTAAGAGTATTAAGGTAGATACATGCAACCAACACAAGAGGAAGTACAAACTTATAGGCTACACACAAACATACTTTACTAATATTTTCACTCTCTTTTTACTCATGGGAGACTGAACGAACAACAGAATAAATCATGACAATTACGACACAGATGACCTGTCAGAATGAATAACAACTCAGGCTTCATCCTCAACTCCAGCTACTACTCTCACAACAGACCAACAGCCTGCAAACAAGACTGAATGTATTTGTTTTGTTGTTTTATTTTTACAGTCCAAGTGATACGTTTAATTAATTTCCAAATAAATGTAAAGTTGAACAGGATTCTTTATATGCTAATCATACATTTTGTTTCACTGACTTAAGCACTAAAGCAAAGCAAAACGATTAATGTTTTCAAAATAACCCTGCATTGGACCACTCAGTTGAAACTTGAAAGCGACAATGAGATGAACCGCAAAAATTTCATGAACTGCATTAATTTACTGATAAATCAAAATAAATAAATAAACAAAAATAAATATACATATTAAAGCAAATGACCACAAGATAATTATTTCAGAATAAGGCAGCTCATTTAAAAAAAAAAAAGAATCAGAATAATACAGAACATTTTGTGGCATATGTAAATATGTACTACATATTATACATATGACAACATTTTGAAACAAATGTATATTCTTATAAACTGCTTTGATGTGAAAAGTAAAGAAAATGTAAATGTATGACCTGTTTTAATGTACACATTAAAACTATATGTTCTTTCAATATCATTATTTTGTCTTTTAATAAAAGATTTCTGGTATTGGTTTTATTGACTTCAGTGTGTGTGTTCTCTAACAGAGTTTCAGAACTAACCGACATCTTATATATCTTCATATCCTAAAATGACTTTTTTTTTTTATTACACAAATTAAGTGCATTACTTTTCTTTTTGTATTTTGTATATGTACCATTTTGATTATAAAGGTTTCTTATCAAATCTTTGCTTCCAATATTTATTCCAATTTGTCCTCAAAATCAGAATTGATCTGTATCTGTGCATGCTGTACAAAGTACAGATTAGATAAATCAGTGCCAGGTCTGAAGTCTGCATTTATTTTTAGGCCAGGAACAAGTAAAGTGCAACAATGAAAAATATTCGCACACTTACTATACATTGTGTATACTGACACGGATCAATAGTTTTAGCAGAGAGTGAGTTTATCACACTGCTCAAAACACCTCAATGACACAATAAAAATCTAGATTTCTTTTTATGTTTTACTTATATCAAAAGTATCATCTTATTATTTCACATAGACCTATAATGCATATTAGATCATTAGTTAATATTCATTCAAATACTTAAAAATGTTATTCCATTTTATTTAGTTTGTTATATACTTTTTTAACTTAGACTACCACACATTTACTTAACTGTTGGAGATAATAAATACCATACACAAATAAATACCATCAGTGATGAAACCACCTAATTACTCCCAACGCCAACTCAACCTGCCAAGAGCATGTTACATTTGGGAAAAAATCAAGGGTGGAGGAAAGACAATTACAGTATCATTAGAGTGCTTACTGAAATCCATCAGTCAAGATTTCCCCCTACAATCCCCAGCAGCACACAGAGAAGGTTTTTTTTTTTTTTTTTTGGCACGGTAACTTATTAAATCACCTCTTGCATTCCTAAGGAGAACCAAGTGCTTCTAACTGCATAAATAACTATAACCAAATAAATGACAAAGTTCCAGCTTGAGTATAAGACAATGAGTGTATATGTGTACATATTTCAGTTGCAGCTTACTGTGTGTGCTTCAGAAGTTACATTTCTTTTTGTAGTACAATGTTTTTCACAATACCATATTGCCATGAACACGTTTGACTGGTAATTTCCACAAACAAATGTCAGAGAGTCAAAGGGGAGGGATTCCTACACCTGAGCTCACATATAACCAGAAGCTCCTCCTGTTGCCAGCATAACACTCTGAAAGAGACAAAAGACCTCTAGCTTCGTCCTAAACTGCTATCATAACATACACGTCGTGAGAACTGAATAACTTATCAGAGGACACTAATTTTATGTTGACACAAGGTAAGGCAATAATATTACAGAATAGTGCTACTGATATGATGATTCTGCTTTGTGATGCTTACAGCATGTAAAGAAATAATACTGATATTCTGAGAATTGGAATTTGCATTTAAATCATTCCTAAAGACATCAAGCAATGTTATTATATTACATATTATTATATATTTAAAATATGGTGGCGGGTTCATTTCCATTGCATTTTAATTGGTCTTATACGGACATTGCTTTTTTTATAAATCACTGTTGTTTACATCTGTTTATCAGATATATCAGTGGCTTGAAGTAAAACAACTTAAATATCATTTCACATCTATTTTAGAATCAAAGCAACAACATCAGGATGTCCAACAACAAAAAGAAACCAAGTAAGTCTAAACAACCCTTGAGAAAAATAGGATAATCAAGAAATACAATTTAAAAGTGGCATCAATGTGTTTAATGTTGTTTTAATTATGTTTCTGCAGCAGCAACTTCAAAATTTTACAATGAACCAGCGATGGTGGAGGAATTGTACACTGGATACCTGATCAAGTCCCCCGCTCAACAAGCCCTGACTAAAAGCACTGTACGTCTCATTTTGCATTTAAACCTGAAATCAAAATATCTGCAGTCTGTCAAAGACAGTTCCTCTGTTCGTGAAACTTAACAGTTGTATATCTGTCACAGAAATCATGGAAGCGTCGTTTGTTTGTGCTCTCCAAGACGGGTGAGGACACCTACCAGCTGACATATTATGCAAACGAAAGAAAAGAGATAGACCTTTCCAAGTAAGGAAAAGTCTGTTAAAGTCATAAATACATTTATTTTGTATATAAATTATTCACACTATAATGAGAATGTCCTTCTGTTTTAAAGGATCAGCCTGCTGTTTATTGGCCCCGAGGCACATCAGGAGTGGGACTGGATCCAGAAAAAATTCAAATGTTCTCCATCCTCTGTGCTGTTCTTGAAGGTGGAAGACAACACACCAAAACACTCAAGAGACTATTTCCTCATTGGAAAAAACAGGTTTGCCACCATTATTTTGACCATATTTCTCATTTCCATTACAATATAGCTCCATTAAAGCCAGCATGATGCAGGCAAAAAAAACAAACAAAAAAAAACTATAATATTTAAAGCCTCTATGAAATCAAAATAAAAGTTTTGTGGCTTTTAGTCCATGTCTATTAGTTCTGAAGCAATGCATACAGTATGTTAGTAGAGTAGCATATAGTAGTAAATATACAAATTTAAATTGAGCTTTATCAGCATGACTAAGCATTTAGTATATTTCCAAAGCATATAATATTCAAATATCAAAATAGACAACACAGAAAATAAATGTGAAGTAAATAAAGAGATACATGAGATCAAATTAACTTTTGGTGTTTATCTCATCACATTTATTTAGAAATTAATTTAAAATATTCACTGAGCTGTAAATAATTCAATTCAATTCAATTAAAATATTGATTTCATTTTTCATCAATTTTCACTTTTTGAGTCTTTAAGCAGTAGCTTAATCATTCTGCTTTTAAAGTTAGTTATATATCATGGAAATGTAATTCTAGAAATCTTCTAGTTTAAACTTTTAATTTTCATTTTACCTAACCCTAACCCTAAACAAGTGATGCCATTTTCCAGTAGTGTTAAATGTTTTCTGGTGTTTTCAGTGATGATGTGGATGGTTGGCTCAATGCTTTAGTCAAGGTAATGAAGACCCAGAAATCACGATATGCCCTTCAGGTAAACATTAAAATATCTCTCTCTTCACTTGTATGCATTTATAAACTACCTGTCAAAGGTTCGGACACACCTACTGATTTTAATATTATCATTTCCTGAATAATGAATAACAGAAGAAAATATTGCAATTATTCAGTGATAAAAATTGCTACAATTTTTAGTTTTAATATTATTATTACTTTATATATTTTAGCTATTTTTTGTTTTGTGTAGAAATGTTGCATGTTGACAATTATTATTGTATATTTATCTACAACTTATTACATGCATTGCCATTTAGACATGCTCACATGCTTTACTTTTTTCACAGGACAACAGATTTAGATCAGCATCTGAACCTGTAAAGAGTTCAGAACCAAAGGTTGAGGATGAGCCTGATGAAAGACGGTCAGCACCTGAATTAATGCTAACTTACCCGTCACTGTACAGCCATTATGACTATCCTCGCAAGCTCAGCGAACCTCTACTACCAGTAGCGCTCAAGGTTTTACACATTTATACACGGTTTCTTCAATATACAGTGTGGACATGAATACTCTTAAACTTCCTAAAAATATGCTAAAAAAAACCTCAAACCTCTATCTGGCAGATTCCAGTTATTGAGGATGAAGATGATGAGGACGAGATGCAGGATGAATCTGCAGAGGACAGTGAATACATGTCCATGGCATCATTGTAAGTGTTTGAGAGCACTTTTAACTGGCCTACTAGAATGTAAAATACTTTCTGTTAATAAAATAAAAATTTTTAAGATACATTTTAATGAATTAATTTTTCTGTGGTCTTTTCTGATTAGGCAAAGAGCTTTGGAAGAAGACCAACAGGAGGCGGACACTACATGCACGCAGAAAAAGTAATTTTGAATTCTTGATTCACTGTTACGTACCTCATGCACTATTGTGTCAGTAGTGTGAGATACGATAAACTCTGCGTCTGTTGCCTTTTGACACATTGTAAGTTCCCTCCGTGCCTCAGATAGATTTGATTCTTTGTTTATTTAAAGACTACAAAACAACTCTTATCTTAGGGTTGCTGAATAGTGTGTTTTGTTGTTTTGAAACTTCCATTCTTGCTGAACAGTTCTGGTCACGGATGAATGATTAAAGCAAACTTTTGGCATGGTTTTAACATCTTGGCAGATGCAAATCATCTCTGAACAATTCACTGTTCCTCTGTGGATATATAGTTCATCTTATTTTTTGGTTGTCTTTTTCAGCACTTCCATTAATGGTCAAGAGTCCTCTGTGTGCAATGGTGCAGTCAACCAGGAAGAGGACAATGAAAATAAACGGTAAATTTTGACTTGAATGCATCTTTTGAAAAAGCTAGAAGTGCACTTTTCTGCTGAATGCACCTGAATGACGTCATCTCTTTGTTTTTTGTATTATGCATAAAAGAGCAATATTTAGCATGAAAAATGTGGCATCTGTTTGAAATTTATCAATGCATATTTCTATTCTGCAGTGAAGCGCACACACATGTTAAGAAGGACATCTGCGTTAGAAAAAATTATCTGAAAAACAGTCTGATATTGACTCAGGCAGAGGGCAAACCATGGTACAACTCTCATTGATAATTAATTACAGTTATTTACCTGTACCCTATCCTGATAGAGAAAACATTAACATGAGTACAAATTAACAACTTACATTATATTATGTTATGTTTCTCATTGTTGTGCATTCATCCTCGTCCTCTCCAGTGTCTCTGACTGTCGGAAGATTCAGGACTCGTGTCTCTTCCATAAGGGGGACCAGATCCTGGCCTTCAATGACCTGCTTATAGACACAGTTGAAGAGATACAGACATACGTAAGAAGACTAAGCAAGGATGAGGTAAGATGACGATTCACAGTAAAAGAATGTTTTTTTCCTCACTACATTCAGAGAGCTATAAATAACGCTACTGAAATTACCTGCAGGTAAAACTCACTATTCGGCGGCTCATAGGATCCCAGCCTCTGCACTCTGAACCCTGCCCATCATAATGAGGACAAGAAACTAATCTCTTGTGAATTCATCACCATCAAGATATTAGAAATGTGTCTGGGGTACATTAATCCTCATTCATTCAACTCTAATCATACAGGTGGGAAACAAGGTGTAAATGAAGAACAGAAGAGCAGTCAGTTTATCTAAAGTAACTTGTCCTCTTTTTACTGTATATTAATCATGTAAATATGTAAAAGAGTGTGAATGTTAAATTCATTGACCTTAAAATGTCACTGAATAAAAAGAAATAAATAAGATTTAGACTGTATACATGAAACTATGAGTGGTAGTGGGAATATTAGTTCACATCTGTTAATGTGAAACACAAGGGTCAAGTATTACTTTATAATAAGTATGAAGGTAAATTCACATTGAAAAATGCACAGTTCAAAACTGTTCATGTATTTTAACCTCTTTAAAGATGCACTTTTTTTACAATGCTAACAGTGTGAGGTACTTTATATACTGTGTATATACAAGTTTTCTGTCATTGTGTATTTTGTTTTGCAAAGCATTTACCCAATGATGTAGTGTTCCTAGTCATTATGCATTGATTCAAATGTTTCAGTCACTCTTTAGATTGATGATTACTGAATAACGTGTAGCCTACATAATGTATATACATGTATTATACTGTAGAAAAGCATGTATTTGCACATTGTTCCAATGTGAAGTATTATTAAACTTTTGAAACATTTTTTTGCAATTATTTTATGAATATTTTATAAATGTGCATACATTTTAAATATAATTAGATATTACTTTTACAGAAATGTACTAAATTTTGTAATTTCAATTTTTTATCATATGTTTTAAAAATAGTCAAATAGTCTAGATTTGACTATAGTCTCAAAGATTCAATAACATATTTGTGCAGTTGGGAGATGGACAAATGGTTCACTGCATCTTAAATAATCGTCAACACAGACTGTTGAATCCCAAGGTACAACGCTTTGACATTTCTGGTTTGAATTTCTGATCTGATTTGTCTCATGCATTTCGTACACATGTATACATGGTATGAATTCATTTCAAGCTAAATCATCTTACTTAAACATCTGTCACACAGACATTTGGGTCAAAGAGACACATTGGGGAAACTCCCACAATCATAAATAGACAATGAGCAGGTATGTTGGCACATGGCCATCTGCCTTAGGAAGACAAAGAAAATCAGGTTTGCTAATGTTAGAAACATTGCCTGTTGTTGTAAAGGGATTTATTTACCCTTTGCTCTCAGAGATACTGTGACCAGTTCAGGCCACTTGTACAACGCTTTGACATTTCTGATTTGAATTTCTGATCTGATTTGTCTCATGCATTTCGTACACATGTATACATGGTATGAATTCATTTAAAGCTAAATCATCTTACTTAAACATCTGTCACACAGACATTTGGGTCAAAGAGACACATTGGGGAAACTCCCACAATCATAAATAGACAATGAGCAGGTATGTTGGCACATGGCCATCTGCCTTAGGAAGACAAAGAAAATCAGGTTTGCTAATGTTAGAAACATTGCCTGTTGTTGTAAAGGGATTTATTTACCCTTTGCTCTCAGAGATACTGTGACCAGTTCAGGCCACTTATTCTGATTATCAACAGACTTAATTTATAGCTGAGCAATATCAAAATAATATCATCATATTGGGCCAAAACTGGGTTGGGTCATACAAAACATGTTACACGTGAGCTGCCATCTACTGTGACCCATGAATCAATCTATGTTTGTCCTACACAAGAGGAAACACTAATTTATACACACAAAAATACTAATGTTTTCACTCTCTTTTTGCTCATGAGCGACAGAACTGACAACAGAAATAAATCATGAAGATGACGACACTAGGCGCGTTTCCATTACAGATTTGCGCAAAACTTTGGCGATATTTTATAAATGTCGATAAAAAAGTATTGCGAAATGACGGCGTTTCCATTAACCAATGTTATGCGACTAAAACGTAACCTTTTGCCTCTCGCGATAAGGGCTGAATTCAGCTTCTTATTCACAGCTTCTTATTAGGCTTGTTTGAGATGAGCAAAATCTGCGCAGAACCGATCCTGGAGAACATTGCATTATTGACCCAATTTGGAGGCGCTATATATCAGCTGCCTTTGAGGGTGCTTTAAAAGTTCCACTGTGGCCATATTCCCAGGGCCCCTGATTGTTACCATACAAATTTTCAGATATTTTTACAATAGCATTTTTAAGTTATGGACCCATACATTTGGCAGATATGATAATACATTAACGGGAAAAATAGCATTATTGCCCCAAATGGTGGCGCTATATCTCAGCTTCCTTTGAGGGTGCGTTAAAAGTTCCAGTGACGTCATATTCCCAAGGCACTTGACTGTCACCATGCAAATTTGCAGACATTTTTACTGTAGCATTTTGAAGTTGTGGACCCATAAATTAGGCTGATATGACAATACAATAAGAGGAGAAGTTGCATTATTGGCCCAATTGGTGGTGCTATATCTCAACTTCCTTTGTATTTTTAATGTAGGATTTTTAAGTTATGGACCCATACATTTGGCAGATATGACAATACAATAACAGGAGAAATTACATTGGTGGCGCTATATCTCAGCTTCCTTTGAGGGTGCGTCAAAATTTCTACTGTGGTCTTATTTCCAAGGCACTTGACTGTCACCATGCAAATTTGCAGAGCGTAAAAATTTCCACTGGGGCCTTATTTCCAGGGCCCTTGACTGTGACCATGCAAATTTTCAGATATTTTTAATGTAGCATTTTTAAGTTATGGACCCATACATTTGGCAGATATAACAATACAATAACAGGAGAAATTGCATTATTGGCCCAATTTGTGGCGCTATATCTCAGCTTCCTTTGAGGATGCGTTAAATGTTCTACTGTGGTCTTATTCCCAAGGCACTTGACTATCACCATGCAAATTTGCAGGCATTTGTTAGTGTAGCATTTTGAAGTTATGGACCCATAAATTAGGCTGATATGACAGTACAATAACAGGTGAAATTGCATTATTGTCCCAATTGGTGGTGCTATATCTCAGCTTCCTTTGAGGGTGCGTTAAAGGTTCCAATGGGGCCTTATTTCCAGGACCCTTGTCTGTGACCATGCAAATTTTCCGATATTTTTACTGTAGCATTTTTAAGTTATGGATCCAGGTATTTCGCAGATATGACAATAACAGGAGAAATTGCATCGTCCCATTTGCTCTACAGTTACTGTATTGTCACTTCTGCCAAACTTATGGGTCCATATCTTCAAAATGCTACAGTAAAAATGTCTGCAAATTTGCATGGTAACAGTCAAGTGCCTTGGGAATAAGAACACAGTAGAAATTTTAAAGCATCTTTAAAAGAAGCTGAGATATATCGCCACCATTTGGGGCAATAATGCAATGTTCACCAGTTACTGTATTTAGTCATATCCGACAAACCTATGGGTTCATAACTTCAAAATGCTACAGTAAAAATGTCTGAAAATGTGCGTGGTTACAGTCAAGTGCACTGGAAATATGACCTCGGCAGAACTTTTAACGCACCCTCAAAGGCAGCTGAGATATAGCGCCCCCAATTGGGCCAATAATGCAATGTTCTCCAGTTACTTTATTGTCATATCAGCCAAGTTTATGGGTCCATAACATAAAAATGCTAGAGTAAAAATGTCTGAAAATGTTCGTGTTTACAGTCAAGTGCACTGGAAATATGACCGCAGTGGAACTTTTAACCCACCCTCAAAGGAAGCTGAGATATAGCGCCACCAATTGAGCCAATAATGCAATTTCTCCTCTTATTGTATTGTCATATCAGCCTAATTTATGGGTACATAACTTAAAAATGCTACAGTAAAAATATCTGAAAGTTTGCATGGTCACAGTCAAGGGCCCAGGAAATAAGGGCCCAGTGGAACTTTTAACTCACCCTCAAAGGAAGTTGAGATATAGCGCCACCAATTTGGCCAATAATGCAATTTCTCCTCTTATTGTATTGTCATATCTGTCAAATGTATGGGTCCATTACTTAAAAATGCTAGAGTAAAAATGTCAGAAAATTTGCATGGTAACAGTCAAGGGCCCTGGGAATAAGGCCCCAGTGGAACTATGGGTCCATAACTTCAAAATGCTACAGTAAAAATGTCTGCAAATTTACGTGGTGACAGTCAACTGCATTGGGAATAAGACCAAAGTAGAACTTCTAACGCATCTTCAAAGGAAGCTGAGATATAGTGCCACCATTTGGGGAATTATGCAATGTTCTCCAGTTACTGTATTGTCTTATCAGCCAAGTTTATGGGTCCATAACATAAAAATGCTACAGTAAAAATGTCTGTAATAATTACTGCACTCAAAGGATGACATGCACGTTTAATAATTAACGTATAATGTAATTAGATTTAATGTTGACAGTCCGTTTTCGCTCTTATCTCAGTGTTATTTACATTTTAAAATAGTTAATTGTTCGTTTCTGAAAAAGAGACGCAAATAGAGACGGTCCCTAAATTGAGCGTGAATAAGAAGCGGAAGCGTCGCGTTTTTAAGGTGGAACGGATAACTTCAATAAGAAGCTGCGAATAAGAAGCTGAATTCAGCCTCGTAGCATTGAGTGGCCGCAATCAGCTTCAGTGACTGTATCAGAGCCACACTGCACCGCAGACGTGTGCAGTGTAAATTGTCTAAGCATTAATTGAATTTGCGCAATTTGAAGGGTAATGGAAACGCGCCTACAGCTGAATTGTCAGGCTTTATTTTTCTTATTATTAATTGATTGGGTAATATGTTAAATTAATTTCCAAATAAATGTAAATGTGAAACTTTTTTAATACGCTACGTAATTATACATTTTATTTCACTGACTTGCACTAAAGCAAAGCCAAATGAATAATGTTTTTGACAATAACACTGCATTGGACACCTCAGCTGAAAGTGATAATGAGATGAACTGCGAAAGTTGCATTAATTTACTGATAGCAAAATTCATATCATTTGGAAAAAATAAATATACTGATTAAAGCAGATGACCACAAGACAATGATTTCAAAAAAGGCAGCTTATCAAAAAAGACCAGAAAAATACCTCAGTACACAGAAAATTTTGTAGCATATGAAAATATGTACTAAATATATATTTAAAAGGAATGTTTTAAAACAAATGTGTGTTATTTGTAACTGCCTTCATGTGAGAGTTCAAGTAAGAGAATAATGTAAATGCAATAATGCAATGATGTAAATTTAGGCTACACTTTATTTTGATATTTAGACATTCTACTAACTATAAGTAACTTTGCAACTACGTCAACTAATTCTCATTAATTTGCAACAAGATGTCCACTAACTGTCAGAGTAGACTGTTAGGTTAGTTTAGTGTTAGGGTTAGTAGCATAAGTTGACATGTACTTGCAAAGACTCTTATAGTAAGTATGTTGTATGTTGTGTACCCATAAAAATAAAGTGTTAGAAGATATTAAGCAGACAGACTACTAATACTCTAAGGACTGCTAGTTGACATCTAGTTGCAAAGTTACTTACTGTTAGTAGAATGTCTAAAGTGGACTACCAAAATAAAGTGTTACCAAATTTAATATAACTATTTTTTATTCTGAATGTATTACTCTAATTCAAATTCAGTGTATTACTTTTGATTGTGTATTTTATACGGTACGTAGCTTTTTATTATAAAGGTTTAGTCTTGGCTTATTCCAAATTTTGGAGTTCCAAATTGTCCTCAAATTCAGTTTAATTGTACAATGTATCTGTTTAAATAATTATCTGAATGTGTGCATTCTGTACAAAGTGCAAGACGAAAAAAAATCAGGTGAGAAGTTTGCATGGATTTTTAGGTGTGGAACAAACAAAGTGCAACAGTGAAACACATTCCCATTTATACTCACACACCCTTTATATACACTAATCAGTTTATCACACTAAAAATCTATAATATTGTTTATCACTATAAATTCTAGATTTTTTATTACTTTTATTCAAAGCATTAACTAAAATTACTGCATATAGGCTTATGATGCATATTAGAAAATTAGTTAGTGTCCATTCAAATAGTTAAAAATGTTGTGACATTCTTTTTCTATGACAATTATTTGTTACATTCTGTGTAGACTACCACACATTTATTTAACCCTTGGAGACACAAAACCAAACGCAGTCAATGATAAAACCACCTAATCCCTCCCAACCCCAACTCAACCTGCCAAGAGTATGTTACACTTGGAAAAAAGCCAGGAAAAGGAAGGAAGGAAAGACAATTACAGTATCACTTGAGTATTTACTGAAATCCATCAGTCAAGATTTCCCCCTAAAATCCCCAACAGCATACAGAGAAAGAATTAATTATTTTTTGGCACGGTAACTTGAGTCACCTCTTACATTCCTAAGGGGAACCAAGAGCTTCTAACTGCATAAATAACTATAACCAAATAAATGGTAAAGTGCCAGCTTGTGTATAAGACTATGAGTGTATATGTGTACACATTTCAGTCGCAGCTTACTTCATGTGCTTCAGAAGTTACATTTCTCTTTGTAGTATCGAGTTTACCACAATACCACAACAACATGAAGACGTTTGTCTGGTAATTTCCAGAAACAAATAACAGACACAGTCAAAGGGGAGGGAGCCTAAACCTGAGCTTACATATAACCAGAAACTCCTTTTACCAGCATAATGCTCGGGAAGAGACAAAAGACCTCTAGCTTCCTCCTAAACTGCCATCATAACATACACGTTGTGAGAGCTGAATAACTTTTTACGGTGACACAAGGTATGGCAATACTATTACAGAATATGGCTACTAATATTTTGCTTGTGATGCTTGTAATATGCAAAGAAATATTGCTGATACTATTCAAGTGAATTTAAAACTTTCATACAGACATCATGCAATTTTATTATACAACATATTATTATATTATGGAGGGTTAATTTCCATTGCATTTTAATTGTTCTTGTTTTGACATTGCATTTTTTTTTATTTTTTACAAAATCATAAATCACTTGTTTACATCTGTTTATCAGATTTATCAGTGGCTTACAGTAAAACAACTTAAACATTTCACATCTTTTTTTAGAATTAAAGCAACAACATCAGGATGTCCAACAACAAAAAGAAACCAAGTAAGTCAAAAGATCTCTTTGGAAAATGAAATAATCAAGACAACTGTAAAACTCAAATTAAACTGTGTGGCATCAATGTGCTTAATGTTTTTTAATGATGTTTCTGCAGCAGCAACTTCAATATTTTACAATGAAACAGCGATGGTGAAGGAATTGTACACTGGATACCTGATCAAGTCCCCCGCTCAACAAGCCCTGACTAAAAACACTGTATGCATCATATTGCAATTCAACCTAAAATCTAAATATCTGCAGTCTGTCAAAGACAGTTCCTCTGTTCGTGAAACTTAGCAGCTTTATCTGTTATATCTGTCACAGAAATCATGGAAGCATCGTTTCTTTGTGCTCTCCAAGACGGGGGAAGACTCCTACCAGCTGACATATTATGCAAATAACGAAAGGAGAGACAAGCCTTTGGGAGAGATAGACCTTTCTAAGTATGGAAAAGACTGTCAAAGTCATAAATAAATAAATGAAGTATGTTCACACTATAATGAGAACGTCTTTCTGTTTTAAAGGATCAGCCTGCTGTTTATTGGCCCCGAGGCACATCAGGAGTGGGACTGGATCCAGAAAAAATTCAAATGTTCTCCATCCTCTGTGCTGTTCTTGAAGGTGGAAGACAACACACCAAAACACTCAAGAGACTATTTCCTCATTGGAAAAAACAGGTTTGCACCATTATTTTGACCATATTTCTCATTGCCATCACTACACAGTTCCACAAATGCCAGCATGACAGGCAAAATAAATGATTAAATAAATAATATTTAAAGGCTCCATGAAATCAAAATGAAAGTTTCTTGACTTTTAGTCCATGTCTATTAGTTCTGAAACCATGTATATGTTAGCATATAGTAAATATACACATCAAAAATTGAGCCTTGAGAATCAACAAAGCTTTATCAGCATCATTAATTTAGTATATTGCCAAAGCATAATAAAAGAAAAAGACAAGTGTATGAACAATAAAATAAAAATAAAAATTAACTTTTTGTGGAGTCTTTAAGCAGTAACTTAATCATTCTGCTTTTTAAATTAGTTATATATCCTGGAAATATGCTTTTATTTTAAACTTTTATTTTTCATTTTAAAATAACTGAGTTTTTCCAGTAGTGTTAAATGTTTTCTGGTGTTTTCAGTGATGATGTGGATGGTTGGCTCAGTGCCTTCGTCAAGGTAATGAAGACCCAGAAATCAAGAAATACCCTTCAGGTAAACATTAAAATATCTCTCTCTTCACTTGTATGCATTTATAAACTACCTGTCAAAGGTTTGGACACACCTACTGAATTTTTCATTTCCTGAAAAATAAAAACAAAAGGAAATATGGCAATTATGCAGTGTCCAAAAAAATTTAAACTATCTACTTCAAAGTAGCCACCATTTGCTAATATAATTATTTTTATATTTTTACTTAACATAATTTATTCATTGTTTTGTTTTAAATTTACATGTTCATTTATATTTATCTGCAACTTATTACAAGCATTTAGACATGCTCACATGCTTTACTTTTCCCACAGGACAACAGATTTAGATCAGCATCTGAACCTGTAAAGAGTTCAGAACCAAAGGTTGAGGATGAGCCTGATGAAAGACGGTCAGCACCTGAATTAATGCTAACTTACCCGTCACTGTACAGCCATTATGACTATCCTCGCAAGCTCAGCGAACCTCTACTACCAGTAGCGCTCAAGGTTTTACACATTTATACACACAGATTCTTCAATATACAATATGCACTCAAATGCTCTTAAACTTCCTATTGAAAAAAAACCCTCAAACCTCTCTATCTGGCAGATTCCAATTATTGAGGTTGAAGATGATGAGGACGAGATGCAGGATGAATCTGCAGAGGACAGTGAATACATGTCCATGGCATCATTGTAAGTGTTTGAGAGCACTTTTCCCCGTAACTGGCCTGCTGGAATGTAAAATGTACTCTGTTAATAAAAAAACAACTTTTCTGTGGTCTTTTCTGATTAGGCAAAAAGCTTTGGAAGTTGACCAACAGGAGACGGACACTACATGCATGCAGAAAAAGTAATTTTGAATTCTTGATTCACTGTTACGTACCTCATGCACTATTGTGTCAGTAGTGTGAGATACGATAAACTCAGTGTTTGTGCCGTTTAACACATTGTAATGTGTTCACAAAGTTCATTATTTTTGATTATTTGTTGGTTGTCTTTTTCAGCTCTTCCATGAATGGTCATGAGTCCTCTGTGTGCAATGGTGCAGTCTACCAGGATGAGGATGATGACTGTAAATGGTAAATTTTGACTTGAATGCATCTTTTGAAAAAGCTAGAACTGCATTTTTCTGCTGAATGCACCTGAATGATGTCGCCTCTTTTAAACTTTCTTATTAGTGTATTATGAGCTATATATATATTAGAGCTATATTTAGCATGAAAATTGTGTCATCTGTTTGAATTTTATCAATGCATATTTCTATTCTGCAGTGAAACGCGCGCACATGTTGAGGAGATCTGCGTTAGAAAAAATGATCTGAAAAACAGTCTGATCTTGACTCAAGCAGAGGGCAAACCATGGTACAACTCTCACTGATAATTAGTTACAGTTATTACCGTTTAAAATATCCTGTACCCTATCCTGATAGAGAAAACATTAACATGAGTACAAATGAAGAACTTACAATATGTTTCTCATTGTGCATTCATCCTTTTCGCCTCTTTTAAACTTTATTAGTGTATTATGAGCTATATATATATTAGAGCTATATTTAGCATGAAAATTGTGGCATCTGTTTGAATTTTATCAATGCATATTTCTATTCTGCAGTGAAACGCGCGCACATGTTGAGGAGATCTGCGTTAGAAAAAATGATCTGAAAAACAGTCTGATCTTGACTCAAGCAGAGGGCAAACCATGGTACAACTCTCACTGATAATTAGTTACAGTTATTACCGTTTAAAATATCCTGTACCCTATCCTGATAGAGAAAACATTAACATGAGTACAAATGAAGAACTTACAATATGTTTCTCATTGTGCATTCATCCTTTTCCTCTCCAGTGTCTCTGAATGTCGGAAGATTCAGGACTCGTGTCTCTTCCATAAAGGGGACCAGATCCCGGCCTTCAATGACCTGCTTATAGACACAGTTGAAGAGATACAGACATACGTAAGAAGACTAAGCAAGGATGAGGTAAGATTACGATTCACAGTAAAATAATGTTTTTTTTTCTCACTACATTCAGAGAGCTATAAATAACGCTACTGAAATCATCTGCAGGTAAAACTCACTATTCGGCAGCTCATAGGATCCCAGCCTCTGCACTCTGAACCCTGCCCATCATAATGAGGACAAGAAACTAATCTCTTGTGAATTCATCACCATCAAGATATTAGAAATGTGTCTGTGGTACATTAAAGCTCATTCATTCATGTCTAATCATACAGGTGGGAAACAAGGTGTAAATGAAGAACAGAAGAGCAGTCAGTTTATCTAAAGTAACTTGTCCTCTTTTGACTGTATATTAATCATGTAAATGTGTAAAACAATGTGAATGTTAGATTCTCTGTCCTTGAAATGCCACTGGGTGAAAGAAATCAGTAACATTTAGACTGTATATGTACATAAAACTATGTGAGTGGTAGTGGGTTTATTAGTTCACATCTGTTAATGTGAAGAACCACAGTCAAGTATTACTTTATAATAAGTATGAAGGTAAATTCACATTGAAAAATGCACAATTCAAAACTGTTCATGTATTTTAACCTCTTTAAAGACGCACTTTTTTTTTACAATGCTAACAGTATGAGGTACTTTATATACCGTGTATATACAAGTTTTCTGTAATTGTGTATTTTGTTTTGCAAAGCATTTACCCAATGATGTATTGTTCCTAGTCATTATGCATTGATTCAAATGTTTCAGTCACTCTTTAGATTGATGATTACTGAATAACATGTAGCCTATGTAATATATACATGAATTATGCAGTTAAAAAAGCATGTATTTGCACTATTGCACAAGTATTATTAAACTTTTGAAACATTTTTTTGCAATAATTTTATAAATATGTTATAAAAATACAAATATTTTTAACTTTTACTTTTACATACATGTCTAGAATCTATTTTCAAACAGTCTCTGAAACATACAGTACATTAAAACATATGGTTCACTGCTTTATTTGACATCTTAAATAGTCGTCCACACAGGATCCCAAGATAAAGCTTTGGCATTTCTTACTTGAAAACATGTCTCATGCATTTCATACAAGTGCATACAAATAAGCTGAATCATCAAGAGAACCAAAAAACCAGGGGAATCAAGAGTACATGTGCATGGAAAATAAATATGCTACAAAAGCATAAAAAACTAGAATCCAAGAAACTGGAAATGGTGTATAAGTCTATGAGTGTATATGTGTACATAATTCAGTCACAGCTTACAGTATGTGCTTCAGAAGCTAAAATTATTTTTGTAGTATGATGTTTTCCACAATAACACAATGACACGAACACACTTGTCTGGTAAGTTCTCCAAAGGAATGACAAAGTCAAAGGGGAGGAACTTAAACATGAGCTCACATAAAATCAGAAACAACTCCTTTTACCAGCATAACAATCTGGAAAAGACAAAGGACCTTTAGTTTCCTCCTAAACTGCCATCATAACATACACGTTGTGAGAACTTTTCAGAGGACTGAGATTTTACTGCGACACAAGGTAAACCAATAATATTATAGAATATGGCTACCGATATGATGATTCTGCTTTGTGATGCTTGTAACATGTAGAGAAATAATGCTAATACTATTCATCTGAGAAAAAAAATGAGTTTAAACATTATGTCTTTTTGGAGAAAAAACAATGTAATATTATTATATAACATATTATACACTTGAAATGTGGCAGAGGGTTAATTTCCATTGCATTGTAATTAGTCTTGTGCTGCTGACAGTGACACTTCACTGAATATTATTTTACAAAATCATACATCGGTGTTGTTTACTTCTGTTTATCAGATATATATCAGTGGCTTACAGTAAAAAAAAAAAAAAACTTAAACATTTCACATCTATTTTAGAACTAAAGCAAACAACATCAGGATGTCCAACAACAAGAAATCTCGTAAGTCTAAAACATCTTAGGAAAAATGGGATAATCAAGGAACTTAAACACTAAATGGAATTGTGCAACATTTAATGCTGATCAGTTTTAATTATGTTTCTGCAGCAACAACTGCAAAATTTTACAGTGAGCCAGCAGTGGAGGAATTGTACACTGGATACCTGGTCAAGTCCCCCCCTCTAACAGCCCTAACTAAAAACACTGTACGTTTCATATTGCAATTCAACCTGAAACTGAAATATCTGCAGTCTGCAAAGACAGTTCCTCGGTTTATGAAACATATCTGTTACAGAAATCATGGAAGAATCGTTTCTTTGTGCTCTCCAAGATCGGTGAGGACACCTACCAGCTGACATATCATGTAAACGAAAGGAGAGACAAACCTTTGGGAGCGATAGACATTTCTAAGTATGGAAAAGACTGTCACATAAATAAATACATAAAGTATTTTCATACTACAATGAGAACGTCTTCCTGTTTTAAAGGATCAGCTTGCTCTTCACTAGCCCTGAGACACATCAGAAGTGGGACTGGGTCAAGAAACAATCAAAGGGCTCTCCTTCCTCTGTGCTGTTCTTGAAGGTGGAAGACGTGACACTAAAGCAATCTAGAGAATATTTCCTCATTGGAAAAAACAGGTTTGCCACCATTATTTTAACCATTATCTCCCATTGCCATCACAACATAGTTCCATGAAAAAAGTGTTAAATGTTTTCTGGTGTTTTCAGTGCCGATGTGGATGGTTGGCTCAATGCATTATTCAAGGCAATGAAGACCCAGAAATCACAAAATAAACTGCCACACACAGATGATACTCAGGTAAACAAACTTTCTCTCTCCCTCTCTGTCTTTACATAGATGCTTATATAAACTCTCAGTCATGTTTGAGCACACCTACTAATACTTGTTACCATTTCCTACATTTGAGAATAATAAAAAAAAATATGGCAATTATGCAGCAACCAAAAAATAATTATCTTAGATAAGAAGGATTTAGCATCATAAGAAACCAAAAATTCAGTCAAGTGTACCAAAACTTTTGAGAGGTTGTGAATGCTCACATGCTTTACCTTTTTCCACAGGACAAGAGATCTAGATCAATGACTCTACCTGCGAACTGTTCAGAACCAAACGGTGAAGATCAGCCCGATGACAGATGGTCAGCATTTGAATTAACTTCTCTGTCACAATGCAATCATTATGACTACCCTCGCAAGCTCAGCGAACCTCCAATACCAGTAACATGCAACGTTTTACACATTTAAACACAGTTTCTTTCACATATGCATATGATAAAAATACACGAATAAAACTCAAACCTCTATCTGGCAGATTCCAGTTATTGAGGAAAAAGATGAGATGGACGGGAAGCAGGATGAACCAGGATGTCCAGAGGACAACAGTGAATACATGTCCATGGGATCAGTGTAAGTGTTTGAGAGAACTTTTTCCCTTAACTGGCCTAGTGGAATACACTCTGTTGATAAAATACAACTTTCAGAGACACGGTTTAATTTAAGTGTTCTGTGATTAGGCAACGGGTGAAAGATGACCAACAGGAGGATGACATGGCATGCAAAGAGAAAAAGTAATTTTGAAGTCTTTGATTCACTGTTATTTACCACGAGATCACACTATTGTGTCAGATATGCAAGATACGATAAATATATGAATTATCATCAGTATGTTATTGTTTGCCACATTTTCATTTTTTCAAATCAGTTCATTCCGCTTCACGCCCCAGATGCAACATATATATATATTTAAAGACTACAAAACAACCCTGTTTCTTAGCGTCAATTAGCAGTCTATCTTGCTGTTTAGAGAGTTCCAACCTTTCTAGTCTTGCTCAACAGGTCTGGTTTTGGCTGATTTATAAAATGAAAGCTAACACTTAGCAAGGTTTTAGCATACCTGAGAGATGCAGTCATCACAACGTTTAAACAAGAATGTGCTCTATGGTGGTTTGACCCTTGCTCAATCTGATTTTTTTCTTTCCCTCAGTGAAGTTCACAGGCATTCTAATCAGTCTCTCGTTGACTTCACTGAAAACTGTGCCTCTACCGAGTCAGACAACAGGTGATTTTTATCATTTCAAACAGGGCTGTAACCACCATATTCAGATTAGCTGGTGACCAATATAGGTTTTTTTTAGCATCTGATACTTTAATGATTTAATTATTATTAGTGGTCTGCACTAATCTTAAACATGTGGTTACATCCTTAATTTCAGTATACTGGAAATAGCATTAGCAGGGTGCTTCTGCTTTAGAGAAAACAACTATTGAGTGTATCAATGTGTCAGTTGTTGAGTAATATTCTGTCCTTTCCTAAAATCCTCAGATATATTTAACACTGTGGTTATGATAAATGTGGCATTTGTATTTTTCTGCTTTGTAGTGAAATGCAAACGCATGTTGAGAAGGAGCTCTGCGGTAGTCAAAATGATCTGACAAACAGTCTGATCTTGACACAAGAAGGCGGCAAACCATGGTACAACGCTACAATAGATAATTAATGACATAGTCTGTTCTAGAATGAATGGTAATATGAGTAGAAATGAACTACTTACCATGTATTATATTTCATCTCTCATTATCATTTTCTCCAGTATGTCTGAGTGTCATCAGATTCAGGATTTAAGGGGGAATCAGACCCTGCCCCCAGACACAGTACAAGAGATTCAGAAATGCATAAAAAAACTAAGCAAGGATGAGGTAAGATGATAATTCACAGTAAAGAAATTGTCCTTATTTCCATCACTGTAATCAGAAACCTATAAATAAAGTTACTGAAATTACCTGCAGGTAAAACTCCTAATTCGGCGGCTTCCAGACCTCACTCTGAACACTGCCCATCACACTGAGGACACAAAACAAAGTCTAATGCGAAATCTCTCATCACTATCGAAATAATAGAAATGTTGTACACATGTCTCATTTAAGGGTCAGAGGGTCTATGGGACATTAAAGTTCATTTATTTACTGATAAAGGTGGAAAATAAGGCGTTACTGAGTAACAGAAGATGCAATCTGATTATCTAAAGTACCTTATCCTCTTTTGCCTGTACAGTAATCATGTAAATATGTAAAAAAAAAAAAAAAAAGATATGTCTTATGTACATGAAATTACATTAGTGCCCTAGTAAAAAAAACAAAGTAGAATATTCAAAATACATTTATTTCATATTAAGTATAGTTTAAATCTATTAACATACTTACTGACATAGCACTCGAGACTTACTGATGTAAAAAATTATAATTAAACTTTATTTGGAGTACTACTTGTTCACAATGCACATTTCTTAATATTAAGCCTAAAATGTGTTTTAATGCCACTATTGATGAATAATACCAGTCTTTAAATGCAAGATATTTAAGGTGTACCTGAAGTATATACCTGCAATTGTTCCACTTTAGCACAATCAAATATACTTCAGTATATCTTTAATTGGACTTAAAGCACTACTTCTGCACAATTAAAGTGCATTAAGTACAAAATTAGTTAGTTCCAAATTTATTTCCAAAATTAGTTGCAATTTAGCAGACTTTAAGTATACCAGTTTAGTATACCAAAAACTGCAGGGTATTTTTTATTAAGTATTTGTAGTATACTTAGCATGAAATAAATGTATTTCAAATACATTTAAGTATATTTATTTTTCACTAGAGTGGTAGTGGGTACTGTATATATTTGTTTGTTTGAAGAACAACTGTCAAGTAATTCTTCAAAACTAGGAGGAGAGTTAATCCACAGTGAAAAACAGTAATTAGCCTATTTTAAATTTAGATGAATTATGTTTTAGAAAAGCATGTATCTTGCACATTGTTACACTGTGAAGTGAAGTGTTATTAAACTTCCCATTTAACAGTTTCTGCCTTTTTAAAATTTTATATTAGTATTTATATTAGTAGTTTATTTCTTAAAAAGCGCAACAAACGTTATTAGTGTTTTTTTAAACACACATTAAACTCTCTTGAATAAAATACAACTAATCATTCAAATTCATTGGTTATACCTCAGAGCTCCCTCTATTGTTTAAACGGACTGTGTACAATCAAATTCATTTCACAAACTCATGATGAATAAATGAACACAGATGTTGTTGTTCTCTGTAAGATGTTGTTGTTTTCTGTCTCTACTCTGTAAGTTTTTTTTTTTTTTTAATAAGTTTAGAATTTAGAACCTATTCATCTAACCAGAAACTCCACCTACCCTTTCTATAACAGCCAAAAACAAAGACCTGTAGCTTTCTCCAAACAACCACATTGGCTCTGAATGAAACCAGTTTTTTCACAAGTGCATTTTGAAGCGCTGAAATGCACCGTAAACAATAAGATGTTGACCAGAAACTTCTCTTCCCATCAGGGCCAAGAACAAAAAATGTCTAGCTCTGCACTATTGTCATGAAATGATCATGCTGCAGAGGACACCTATGGAAGGTGAAACGTAGTACATGTAGGTCAGGGATGAGCAACTTCAATCATGTAGGGCCACTGTCCTGCAGAGTTTAGTTCAATTCCCAATCGAACACACATCTGCCTATTTTTTTAAGAAATCCTTAAGACTTGGGTTAGATTATTTTAGTTGAATCCAAATGTTCTCCTATCATTCATCGATCTCAAATATGGATTATCATTTAAAATGTAAACATGTAAGTAGCAACCGCACGCTCTAACGTTAACCTAGAAAAATGTGCACTATTAGTCGCATATCCAACTGTTTGTGAAGAGTGTGGAAGTTATAAGTGACCTTACTGCAAAACATGGAAAAGCCAGAAAACACTAGTTTATTAACAGATCATTTAAATATCTCCTTGCTATTTTTTCCGATATATACATTATTTTTGCCGGTGCTTTGCGGCAAGCTTTATGCGTGCACTTGAGCGCGGAATAGACTATTGAAGGCTCTTTATGGTTTAGTTGCTCCCTTGATAATTAAATTAATATAAAAGTGTGATTAGTTGACTTCAATGGCTTAAATGAATGACTATTAGTTGACAAGAAAAACATTTGTCTGAATCCTGAATCCTAAAACTGAACACACATTTAACTTCCTGGGCGAACCAAGGTATAGGAAAACAAATAGGGCTGTTGTTAGAAACCAATTAATAATGGGGTTGACACTGAAAAGTAACTGAACAGGATGCAAGCAGTCCAGAGACACCGTATTTTTAAGTACTCAAAGTCTTTGCTTAGATGGGCACACTGTATCTGTGAAAGGTTTTATAGTGCGTGATGGACTATAGCACTTTAAGTGGAGAAATGAATATATATGAAAGTTACATGAACAGTTAACAAAGTATTAGTGTTTTTCTATTAAGGACATGTCACTGACGTTCAGTAAGACAACACTTGAATTTCATATATACTGCATATTGCAAAGAAGCAACAGCATCCAAACTAACAGCAGATATGATTCAGATGTGTCTAGAATTTATTGAAAATGAACTATAAATGAATTTCTATACTATATCTGTAACTTTTTATTTAGGACATCAGATGCATTTAACAGGCATGTACAGTGGGTACGGAAAGTATTCAGACCCCCTTAAATTAATTTAGAGAAAATTTAAAGTTGTACTATTTATTTATCTATGAGATTTCTTGCCTTTATTTGTATCTGACATGCTAATGGTCTGTGGAAAACTTTTCTATCGCAGATGACAGGTTACTTCCTTATTGGAGAAAGCAGGTTAGACATGATTATTCTGATTCCATTCAAGAAACTTTACTGGAAGGCAAAAAAAAATTCAATATTTACAAAAGCTTAAATAATTAAGTTTTATATAAAGTCCATATTTTTGCAGTGAGATTAAATTTATACACTGTAAAAAAAATTCCGTAAAATTTACGGTAAAAAAACGGCAGCTGTGGTTGCCGGAATTTTACCGTAAGCTGATGCATTTAGGATAACAAGAACCACAGTATGATACACATGAGTAAAGATATTATCATGGGCTAATCTATCATTTCATGTTAAAGTTACCCCTCCTGAATATGCTTTCCTAGCAAAGCAGTATTTTCTTTCCATACTATGGAACGGTTTCAAATGCATTTCAGTGCCTTTCACAAAGATCCGAGGAATCATGGGCTAAAAATTACTTCTAAATATAGCACCTACTTCCTGCATGATATAAAAACAGCTTACTTTAAGACAACCAATTTTTCATTTATCCATAGAAACTGAAGTTAGGAAAATACACACATCTTGACAAATAATGTATTGCTAATGCTAATACATTTTCAGCATTCATTTTACATTTAGTTGCATTTGGACAGTTCATATAAATGAAAAAAAGATTCTGGCCAGTGACATAGCATTCTAAATTCTAAAGATCAAATTAACAATAGATACTTAAAAAATAATAATCAGGTATATTATAAAATATCACAAAAGTTTAGGTTCAGTAAGATTTGTTTTTAAAAAAGAAATGAATAATGTTATTCAGCAAGGATGATAAAGAAACAATAAGACCATATGATTTTACAAAACCTTAGATTCATTTTCTATTTATCAAAGAATCCTGGAAAATAACAGTTTCCACAAATACACTGAACAAAATTATAAACGCAACACTTTTGTTTTTGCCCCCATTTTTCATGAGCTGAACTCAAAGATCTAAGACTTTTTCTATGTACACAAAAGGCCTATTTCTCTCAAATATTGTTCACAAATCTGTCTAAATCTGTGTTAGTGAGCACTTCTCCTTTGCCAAGATAATCCATCCACCTCACAGGTGAGGCATATCAAGATGCTGATTAGACAACATGATTATTGCACAGGTGTGCCTTAAGCTGGCCACAATAAAAGGCCACTCTAAAATGTACAGTTTTA